CAGATTGCTGGGAGAAGAATTCTAATGAAAGAGGAATTTCCCTAGAGAGGCTGATACAGGCTTTCTAAGGACAGAGTTTTGAGTGACTGAAATTTGTGGAAGTAGAATTTAGGTGGGGAAACAGACTTTCTTTCATAAGGAGAGCAAGTAAAATGCCCTAGACATTACTCTTCATAACTTTGTGTCTATGCATTCTTTAAACTCTGTTCTCAATTTTTCCTACACATAATTAGGGACCTAAAAAAATACTGATGCCTTAACCATAAGGGAAATGCAAGTCAGAACCACAATGAGGGCTGGGGATTTAGCTGAGTAGCTCAGTGGTTCAGCCGCCTGCATCGCAAGCGCAAGGACCTGACTTTGTTCCCTGGTACAAAACACACACACACACACACACACACACACACACACACACACACACACAATGAGACACCATCTCATCCCATTATAGTAGATAATATTTTTAAAAAACAGTAAATTGGCAAGGATATTGAGAAATTGCAACCTTTGTGCACTGTTGATGGGAATATAAAATGGTGCAGCACCTGTGGCAAACAGAATGGAGGTTATTCAAAATAAAAATATAAGCTGGGCATGGTGGCACATTCCTGTAATCCCAGTGCTCTGGGAGACGGAGGCAGGAGGATCTCAAGTTCAAATCCATCCTGGGCAATTTAGCAATGTAGCCACACTCTGTCTCAAAAAAAAGAAAAATGACGGGAGATAGCTCAGTGAAGGTGTTGGGTTCAATCCTCAGTGCTGCAACAAATTAAATAAGTCCATAAATTGCCCGGGCTGGTTTTGAACAGGTATTCTGCCTGCCTCAGCCTTAAGAGTAACTAGGATTATATATGTGCACAAACACATTTGGCTTCATCTGCTCTTGTAATCAAAATTTTCTTTCCTAATCATTCTACCTAGAAAGACTGAAACCAGAGCACAAAGAATCCTTAATTCCAGTTTCTGTCCCTCATTCAAATACCTGAAAGTCAATGATTATGACAAGTGTTTCTCAGATTTATACAAAACACCAGTGTTTTCATAGTATGCCAAATAAATACTAAAATGCCAGTACTACCATGTTGCTTTGGTATCATACATATTAAAGTCCCAACAACTTAATAAAAAAAGGTAAAGCCAGACCAGGTATGGTGGTGCACACACATAATCCCAGCTGTCCAGAAGGGTAGGGGAAAGGTAATAAGGGAAAAGAAAAAAAATAGGAGAAAATGAGAAAACGGAAGTAAAGTGTTTGTAAATGGGGAGGGGAGGAAGGGGTGAAGGGAGGGCAGGGACAAGGGGAAAAAATGAGAACCAAGACCTGCAATGTAAAGGTACAAGATCCCAATGATGAATGTAACTGTGCTGTATAACTAAAATGTACCAATAAACTCAATAAAAGAAAAAGCTTCCAAACAAGAAGGTAGGATGTCCAAGAAAGACAGAGAAAGTAGTTAAAAGTTATGAATTGGCAAATTAAATCTCCCCTCTTTTAAGTTGTCTCAGTGACAAGAAACCCATTAATAAAAAAATGTTGCTGTTAAAAAAAAAGAATAAATGGAACGAAAGATGTCCAAGCCATACTTAAAATACACAGTATTAATAAGATAAAGAACATCTAAGTAAAATGAAGGATACACATAGACATAGACACAGTAGAAACATACAAAGTGGGCTGGGGATTTTGCTCAGTGGTGCCGTCACCTGTCTCACAACACAAGGACCAGACTTCGATCCCTAGTACCAAAAAAAAAAAAAAAAAAAAAAAAAAAAAAAAAAAAAAAAAAAAAAGAAAGAAAGAAAGGAAGGAAGAAAAGAAACACACACATTTATTACTGATTTATTTACTTATTTGGGAGGGTGATGAGCTGTATTGCACTCAAATTGTTTGCACTGAGCTACATCCCCAGCCCTTTTTAAGATTTTGTTGTTGTTGTTGTTGTTGTTGTTGTTGTTGTTTTGAGACAGTCTCACTAATTTGCTTACTTGCTCAGGCTGGCCTCCAATTTTCAGTCCTCCTGCCTCAGCCTCTCAGATTGATGGGATTACATGTGTGTAAAACCACAACCAGATTGAAGGATATGACTTGTTTGTAGATTTTAAATTTCAACATTGCAAGGCTGTCAGTTTCATATAATCCATGCAAAATCCCATGCAAAGCTGGGCCTTGTAATCCCAGCACTCAGGAGGCTGAAGCAGGAGGATTGCCACAAGTTTGAGGCCAACCTGGGCTCCACAGTGACTTTACGGCCAGCCTGAACTCCACAGTGCGATGCTGTCTCAAAAAACAACCCCCTCCAAAACAAAAACAAAAATAAAAACTCATACACCTTTTCATATGTATGAAGATTGAAATGCTGATTTTTAAATTTTTATGGAACAGGAAATAAGATGTGTTATGTACATGTACCAATTTCCCATAGTGAATATAATCGTTATGTACTGCAAGCATGTACTAATAAAAATAAAAATTTGAAAATAAATATATATATGAAAAATTTTTAAATGACCCAATGGCCAGGGAATTAGCTCAGTAATTCCAGTGCCTACCTCGCAAGCTCAAGGACCCAAGTTCGATCCCTGGTACCAAAGAAAAAAAATGACCCTGAATAACCAACACAGAATATATCTGCAATGAGCATGAAAGGCTTGTCACCTACATAGAAACACTGAAAAAATGAGCAGACTATCAGAATCAACTTTGTCCAAACTTTGAAAAATAGTTCACGAAAATGTATGCTAACTCAAGGAAAAGGTGACTGGAAACTGAATTTAACTCAGTGCTTTTTGTGGTGGGGTTCTTCCCCCATTTTTGGAGATTGAACCCAAGGCCTTCTCACTGAGCTACATCCCTAGCTCTTTTTTATTTTTTATTTTAAGACTGGGTCTTAGCTAAATCCCTGATTTCCTAAGTTTGGGCTCAAACTTGAGGCCCTCTTGCCTCAACCTCCCAGAGTTCTGGAATCATAAGCATGAACTGCCACACGCAGCTACTACATAGGTAAATCTAAAGGCCAATATTGAATTTTTGCTTTATAACTCCTCTTTGTTTTCCTGTATCATTTAAAAGACATGGATAAAACAATAAATATAAACGTGGATTATGGATATGCAAACTAGGCATAGTGGTGCATACCTATAATCCCAACATTTATGAGGCTGAGTGGGAGGATCAAAATTTCAAGCCCAGCCTGGGAATTTAGTGACTTGGCAAAACCTTGTGTCAAAATGAAAAATAAAAATTGGGCTGGGCATGGTGGCATTCGCCTATAATCTCATCATTCAGGAGTCTGAAGTAGGAAGATTGCTGCATGTTCAAGACCAGCCTGAACTACATAGTGAGACCCTGTCTCAAAAACAAAAAGGGATTTTATGAAAATGTTAAACAAAAGAGAGCTGGGGTAGCTATAGTAAGATCAAACAAGAAATAAAGGGCCAGGGATTTAACTCAGTGGTTCTGGCACCTTCCTCGCAAGTATAAGGACCCAAGTTCGACACCCAGTACAAATAAATAAATAAATAAAGTAAAAAATCATTACAAGAGACAAAGAAAATATTTTGTATTTATAAAGGGTCAATCAAAACATAGGGACACAATATTGTCCCAAATTATGGGAAGCAAACATCGATAGTAAAGGGAAAAATAGTCTCCAAATAGTAGTTGGAGACTTCTACACCCTGCCCTACTTTCAATAAACACAGACACAGACTCACACACACACAATGAACACAGCAACAAGAAATATTAATATGTGTGTGTGTGTGTGTGAGAGAGAGAGAGAGAGAGAGAGAGAGCTTTCCCATTGTTCACAGCAATAACCCTAATTCTCCAGTACTAATTTTCTGTCCCATTGCTGTACACAATACCTGACACCTACAATTTAAAGGAGAAGAAGTTTCATTTAGCTTATGTTTTATGGGGATTCAGTATATAATCAGCCAGTTCCAAGGCAGAAGCATCATCCCAAAGGAAATGGTGAAGCAAAGCTACTCATGTCATGGCAGTCAGGATGCAGTGGAGGGGAAGAGTGTCAAAGAGGGAAGGGAAAGGGACCAGATATAGTACCAAGGTCCTGTCCCAGTGACTTAACCAGACACACCCAAAAGTGTGCTGTGCCAACTCACTGGGTTGCTCCCAAGCCAAGCAAATTGACACAATTAAGCTTAATCATCACAATATATGAAACACTTCCCCTGTGGGGTGTACCTGTAATCCCAGCTACTGGAATTGAGACAGGAGGATTACAAGTAGAGGCCAGCTTTGGTAAATTTGCAAAACTCTTGTCTCAAAATACAATTTTAAAAAGTTTTTGGCCCAGGTGTGATGGTGCCCACATGTAATCCCAGCACTAAGGAGGCTGAGGCAAAAGGATCGCCGCAAGTTGAAGGCTAGCTTGGGGTACTTAGCGAGTTCAAGGCCAGCCTGAATTACATAGTAAGACCCTGTCTGAAAAATAAAAATTGGGGGTGTGTGGCTCAGTTGTAGAGTGCTTACCTAGTGTGCTCAAGGCCCCAAGTTCAAGCCAAAGCATTGCAAAGAAAACAAAACAGTATTGACAGTTTTGTCATGTGTAAATGGAACATTGTCAAGGCTGGACCTTATATTATGCAACAAATAAGACTCATTAAATTATAGGGCTAGGGATTTAGCTCAGTGATTCCGGCACCTGCCTCGCAAGCGCAAGGGCCTGAGTTCAATCCCCAGTACTTAAAAAAAAAGAGTCATTAAATTATAAAAGAAGAGCTGGACATGATGGCAAATGCCTGTAATCCCAGCACTCTAGGAATTTGAGGCAGGAGGATGGTAAGTTGAAGTCCAGCTTTTGCAATTTAATACTTGAAAAAGACCCTGTCCCTAAATAAAAATGTTTAAAAATAGGTTGGGGCTGTAGCTCAGAGCTAAGACCCTGCGTTCAGTCCACAGTACTGAAAAAAAAAAAGCAACATTGAAATCATATGAAAATATCTTCTGACCATAGTAAAATTAGAAATCAACAACAGTCCTCAATTTAGTAGCACATATACTAAAATTGAAATGATACAGAGAGAATTAGCATGGCCCCTGCACAAGAATGACACGCAAAACAGATGACTGGATAAAGAAAATGTGGTATTTATATATAATGGAATAATACTTGGCTATAAAGAATGACACATTTGAGACATTTGTAGAAAAATGGATGCACCTAGAAAATATAGTATTGAGTGAAATAAACCAGATACACGAGCTTAAATATTATATGGTATCTCTCATTTGAGGCAAATTACAAACAAAGAAAATGATAAAGGATGCATAGAAAGGGACAAGGGATCAGATCTCTTACAATAGGAAAGTAGTCCAAGAGAACAAGGATGAGGAGGAGAAGAAGGGAAAATGAGAAAAATAAAGATGCGCTGTATACAGAAACCTAATAATTACTATTAATGTAAACACTATATGCCATAACATGAGTTAAGACAAATAACATCAACAAGTATGAAAAAGGGGACGGGGCAACCAGAGAAGGAGGGGGAGGGGGAGAGAAGGGGAGGGGGGTTAAAAAAACAAATTGTAACATGTACATGTAACCACTCCCGAAGACGATTGTAAACTACATGAATTGCACACATGTATAATAAATAAAAAATGTTTGAAAGAAATCTATAATAGAAGGAAACTTGGAAAATTCGCAAATACGTGGAAATTAGACAGCAGCATACTTTCAATAAACAGTGAGTCAATGAAGAAACCACAGAGGAAATTAGAAAATATTTTGAAATGGAAGGAACAAAAACACAGCATAGCAAAACTTATGGTTGCAATGAAAGTTTTGATTAGAATGAAAGCTTTTATCTGTACATGCCTATACTAAAAAGAAAAAATATTTTCGCCAGGCTAATGGTACATATCTATAATTCCGGGACTCTGGGAGGCCAGGGCAGGAGGATAGCAAGGCAAGTTCAAGCCCAGTCTGAGCAACTGAGAGATTTAGTGAGACCTGTATCTAGATGTCTCCCCAGTGTGATCACAGGTAGGGCTTGTTAGAGGTGGCTGGATCTAGGCTGTATGATACTTGGATGAAGGATTTGATGCTGGGATTGATTCATCGTGCAATGCTAGGAGAAGGCTGCTCCACTCTGGGAATGAGAGCTACCCACCTGTCTCATCGCTGAGACAAAATATCTGACCCTCAAAGTTAAAAGGGAAAAGGTTTATTTAGCTGACAGTTTGTAGAGGTTTCAGTTCATAATCTACCGGCTCCAAGGCAGAGTAGCACTTGGCAAAGGGGCATCACGGAAGAGAAACAGGTTGTGATGCCAACAAAGGACCTTAACAGCATCTCCCTGGCTCCTTTATTTTATTCAGACCACTTAGGGTGGGTAGCACTCACACCCTTAATCCTACTACTCTCTGGCCTAGTACTGTACCATGAATCGTGAATCACACACTTTAGATTCCAACATAGCCCCACCTCATTGGCATGAGGCTTTGGGGGGGACATCTAAACATAACACCACCCTAAGGGTGGGTAGCCTGGATAAAATATAAGGGAAAAAGCCGGGCATGGTGGCACACGCCTGTAATACCAGCACTTGGGAGGCTGAGGCAGGAGAATCGCTATGAGTTCAAGACCAGCCTGGGATACAGAGTGAGTTCCAGGTCAGTTTCAACTACATAGTGAGACCCTGTCTCAAAAAACAAAATAAAATATAAGGGAAAGAGGGGTTGGGGATTTAGCTCAATGGAACTGTGCCTCCCTGGCAAGTGCAAGGTCCTGGGTTCAATCCCTGGTACTGGGAAAAATATAAAAACAAAAAGAAGGTCACTGTTTGTCACTTTTGTAGCTTGCTGCATGCTGCTTTTGCTGCCTTCTGCCTGTTTTGAACTGGTTTTTGTTTTTGTTTATGTTTTTTCTCCTCTGTGATGCCCCTGTGCCATGCCATACTGCCTTGGAGCCAGCCAATTATGAACTAAAACTTCTACAAACTGTGAGCTTAATAAACATTTCCTCTCTTAACACTGGTTGTCAGGTATTTTGTCTCAGCAATGAGAAAAGTAACCAAGACACCATGCCTCACAATCAAAGAGTAAAGTCTGGCATGGTGATGAATGCCTGTAATCCCAGAACTCAGAAAGCTGAGGCAGGAAGATCGCCATGAGTTTGAGGCCAGCCTGGGCTACATATTGAGTTCAAGGCCAGCCTGAGCTACAGAGGAAAACCCTGCCTCAAAAAAAAAAAAAAAAAAAAAGTAAAAAAGGCCTGGGTTATATCTTGATGTGAAAGCCCCAGGTTCAATCCCCAGCACTACCACCACCTACCACTGGAAGAAAAAATGAGGAAGGCAAAAGTGATAGCAAAACAAATCAATATAATGCATGAAATTATTAGAATAATGGAAAAAATCACATTTTCATCTTATTTAATGCAGAAAAGACATTTGACAAAATTCAACACCATTCTATGAAAAAACACTCAGAGAACAAGGAATCAAAGAGAACTTCCTTTAACCTCATAATAGGCACTTATGAAAATCCCAGTAAGGCAGAAAGCTCAGATAGCACACCGATTATAGTGAAATTCTGTGATAGCATCATTTGAAATAATATTGAGCTGAGGTTTATGTTGGAAAGATTGATACTTGGGTTTATATTTTTTGGCAGAAAACAGAAAGCCCTGTTGCTTTTTAAGAGTTAAAATAATTTAATTTACATTATTATCTTTATAATATATTCTCCTAGGGCAGGGGATTTAGCTCAGTGGTGTCACCACCTGCCTCAAAAGCACAAGGTCCTAAGTTTGATCCCTGGTACAAAAAGAAAAATAAATAAATAAATAAATAA